AGTAACTATAACTAATTACTTTTTCAAAGTAACGTGCCCAACACTGTTTATTGGCCACATCAACAATCTGGCCCTCAGCACCCTTTGCGAAATCCTGTGCAAACATGAGTAAGCAGAGAAAATTATTCCCCGAAGTGGTATTTCAGGCAAATCTGCTTCCATTTTCCTAATAATGTGAGTATTGTAGTAGCATATATTGATAAAAGTATATATAAAATTTCAATAATTCGATTATATTATTCAGAAAATGGATGTTTTTACTTAATGAAAAGTTTGCGCAGTGTACATTTTACGTTCAGTTTCCGATTGGTGTTGCCTTACAGGCAAAACCCAGGGTTTAATAACAAATCCAACTCCCGCGAGAAGAGGCTCAGTGGCGCGAATAAACAAGAGCGTATTTCTTCTGGTTGTTAGTTTCCCTCTGTTTAATATAGTCGAATTAAGCGCTTTTATTTATTTTTAGGCTGTTCGAACTAATAATATAATCTGGAAGACACATTTCCAAGCTATTCGCGTTTAGGTAGCGGACTTTTCAGAGCAGAACAATGTCGGACGCTTTGTCCGAAGACGGCAGCGACATCAACCAAGATGACAGCCAGGAGGATGTTATGACTCCTGCGGAGCTCATCGCCAAACTGGAGGAGGTGAGCCACTGATAACATGCTGAACATTAAAGCCTTCTGTCCGCTTCTTTATTTCTCTCGCTGTTCGCTCCACATAGCTGCTACCTGTGTGTTTCTTTCAGGCCTGGCTGAATGAAAAGTTTTCCCCGGAGCTGCTGGAGAACAAGTCAGAGGTGGTGGAGTGTGTGATGGAGCAGCTGACTCATATGGTAAGTACCAGGGGAACACCACCGGCTCCACTAAGCTGTTTCTGGGTGCTCAGTGACACACCTGCTGCTAATACTGCAGTTGATGCAGATTAAAGGTAAAAGGTGGCTACATCCAGGGGCGGTTTGAACCTTACTTACAAAGGGGCAGCAGTTTTTTGTCATCTGGGGGGCAAATTCATTTATTAGAAATATATTTAGAGAGCAGCAAAACCAAAGAGGTCCTCGTGTATGGAAGAAAAACACTCACTGGAATCTGCCTTTCTCTGTGTATGTGACATTTGCTCCAGGATAAAACATTTAATCATGAATCCTTATTATGTTTTTAAGCCCACACAGTACTTTTCTATACACTTAGAGCCAGTGTTTCCATACAAGGCATATATAAGACTTACATTTTTGCAGCTCCAGACAGACTTTTTTTTTTTGGTCCAATATCACTCTTTGAGCAGTTTGGGTTGTTGACCCCTGCTTTAGCCGGTAGTTACCCTAACGTTATATGTGGCTACATGATGCCTGTAGCTCTGATGGACGGTGATTTTAAACTGTATGGTCAAATAAAAGCTACAGTTAAGTGCAGCTTTTACCAGTTAGGAAAATGGCAAACAAAAAAGCTAATTTGTCAAGGCAGCAGTTGGTAAAATACTACTGTTGACTATTTACATAGGAGGCATTATTCGTAGCATTATTGTGTCTTTTGTTTGTTGTTAGTCATCCTGGATGGGAAGGGTTTTCTATGTCTAATGTGTATCAACCAACTTTTCACAAAGCTGTGACGTTTCCTCCAACAGGAAGCTAACCTACAGCGAGTGAAGAAGGGCGACGCCAAGGCCGGCTTCCATCGGATGGAGATAGACAGGATTCGATTTGTCCTCAGCAGCTACCTGCGATCTCGTCTTCAGAAAGTCGGTTTTCCACCAGGCAAACATATTTCCGTCGTCTCTGTTTGGGTTTTGATCTTTTCTGCCGTTTTTGTACTCAGATTGAGAAGTTCTTCCCCCACGTCTTGGAGAGGGAAAAATCTCGAGTTGATGGACAGCAATCTCTGCTTTCTCCGGAGGAGTTTGCCTTCGCCAAAGAGTGAGTGCATCCGGTTGTCTGGGTTGATAATATGAGATTAAGGATGAGAAATAACATATTCACTTTGTATCCAGGTATTATGCAAATACAGAAACCTACTTAAAGACTGTAGCGCTAAAACGCATGCCTCCCAACCTGCAGACGGTGGATATGCTCAAAGCAGGTAAAAAGTATTTTTGTATTTGTTATAGTCTTATTGTTTAGTCTTTGTTAAAAGTAGAATCCATTATGATCACTTGAATGAACATTACCTTTAATCGCTTTTGTTTCATTTAACCCCAGTCCCTGAACCATGCCTGGACTCCTTTGTATTTCTTCGGGTAAAAGAGAGGCAAGAAAATATTCTGATCGAGCCGGAAAGTGATGAACAGAGGTACTTGTACAGGTTTTTGAAATACTTGTGATCTCATAAGTGTGTAAAAATACTGATAAAATGATGGCACCCCTGCTGAAGTGAGCAATTGTTAGAGGGATATTTTGTTACCCTTGCGCGTCATTGCCTCAGACAGTGGCAACGGTATCCACCGTGTGTAAAAAAGCCTTGACAACGCAGATATGATCATATCATCCAATGGGTAAATAAATTAGGGCTGCAACTAACGGTCATTATGCAAATCGATTATTCTGTTTATTATTTTTTTGATTAATCGATTACTAGCCCAAGGTTCCTTAAAGAAGATTCGTTACGAAATTAAACCAGGTGAAACTAAAACTTTTCCACTTGAGGAGTTCTAGGTAGAGCATATTAAGTGGGTTGCTCTCTCGGCTAAAAGCGTCTTTTAGAGTCTCTATACTCCATTTAACGATTAATCAATTACTAAGTTAGTTGAAGGTTATTTAAATAATCCATAAATGTCAGGGGACTGGTGGCCGCACATTGGCAGCCCACTGCTCCCCAAGGGGATGGGTTAAATGCAGAGAGTTCATTTCGTTGCTTTGAACTTGTGACAGTGTAATGACAATAAAGTTGAATTCAAAATTCAAATTTATTCAATTTATTCATTCATAATCACGATTAGTCCAATTAATTGTTTCAGCATTAGTATAAACTAATAAAAAAATGCTAATGAAAATATACCAGGAGGTAATAATAGACCAGTGTAAATGCAGTCGTTTATTTCAGGCAGTAAAAAAGAGAAGCTATTACATCATAGACCTTTAAAAAAATATGATTAAAATCTCCCTTTAAAAAAATACTTCCAGAAATATATTTTGGGATTTTGTTGCGTAGAAAGGGAACCTCGGTGCATAAAGCTGACCGCTTCTACAGTGTCTTAAAAAAACACAGACGCAGTAAAGAATTGGATGTTTCCATAAATGTTTAAGCCGCTACTGGATATGGAGGCAAAGCAGAGTAGGAAGAACGTCAGTGATCAAACAGTAAAGCACGCGTTTAACACAAAGCTCTGTGTTTTAGAATTGGAAAACACCAAATACATTTTAACCTTAGAATCTTTAGTGACGTATTTATTCAATATTCCCCTATGCATGTACATTTCAGTCCTATAGTGGGTTTGTATTAACTTAATTTAATGATAAAACATAAAACAGGAAGCTGTTCAAAGAAACTGTTATTAGTAAAGGTACAGTTTTTACCTTTGAAGCATATATTGATTCTTACATGCTACTATGTTCATAAGGTAGTAACTCCGTAAAAATTCAAAAAATATCCACTGGACTTGGTTTTCAAGATTTGAAGAAATCTTGAAAACCAAGTCCAGTGGATATTTTTTGAATTTTTACGGAATGACTTTGACCTGGATGACTGAGAACCTTCATCAGCATAAGGTAGTAACATTAATCAGTGAAACGATTGACATCTGTAAAATTCAGACTATGAGCAGCTTGTTTTTCATGGCGTTTCTATTTTTTTTCTTGAATGAACTGAACACCACTGGCCTTTCCAACTGATCTCTTAGTTTGATCATACTTTTTTTCAATTTTATCCTCTGAGCCTTGATCCATCTGGTTGCAACCTTTTATTGAGCAAACTTTCCACATTAGATTTACTGAAATGCATGGAAACAGCATCTCCCTTCCGTCTGTAAAATATCAGGCCCTCTTGCGTAATGTGCTCCGCCTACCTCTTACTTGAACTGTTTTTATCTGTCATTCATACAATGAATCATCCCAGCATTTGTTCCCTTTCAGTGTCACTTCCTGTCTGCTCTGGTCTTTTTTATCTAAGTTCAACAAAGAAACAGTGTATGAATTTTTGGATATCATTAAATTTTTCTTCCATTTTTTCATTTGAAGTGATTTGAAATGGTGTCACAGTCACTTTAAAGTTTCTTCTCCTGTGTTGTCGTTCAGATTGGCTTCCAGCAGGGGGCAATGTTGCCTCCACACTCTGTGATGTTATATTTTCTTTGCAGTGTAAACATATTTTTTTGTTTCTTATTTCAGAGACTTTGTTGTGGATCTTGAAGAGGGCTCCCAGCACCTGATGCGGTACCGCACCATAGCGCCACTGGTCTCAAGTGGAGCAGTCCAGTTAATTTGAACACTAACAGGTAAGTAAGAAGGAAGGAGGGCAGCACCATCCCTTTGAAATGACCCTTTCACCTTTTAAAACCGACATATGCTAATTTGTTTTATTGCAGCTCTTATGTTAGTGACTGGTTGCACTAACATCTGGATTTATTAAAACTTCTCAATCTGTTTACAGGGACCTTAGACTCATATCCCTATAGTGATCAGGGCCCATACCTAAACCCACTCCAGTTCCCTCCCATGTTCTCACAACGTCAATTAAAAATTTTGCATTATAAAATTTGTAAAATAACATTTATTTAAGTGTGATTTATTTTATTTTTTTTCCATTAATTAATAATTAAATAGGAAATGCAGGGCAACATGAACGGAGCGAGGTGTTACTTTTACAGCTGGGAAACGGTGCAGTAATTTAACAGCCAGTTAAATATGACAATACGCATGTATCGGTCACATCGTTAAATCAAACGCCGTGTGTCCCTGGACCCTGGCATATTTACATGAAGGAAAAATGTCAAAAAAATGCCTTCTCCTGAAAATTTGTGCAAGCGTGGAGTGATTTCGCCAGGGCGGCAGGACAATTAAGTTAAGCGTGGAGCGGATTTTGAGCGGAGCATCCTGGCGCAACTTTGAGCAGTGTAGCGAATGAGCGAACATCCTCCTCAGCGTGGAGTGGGAACTGTGTGGTGCACCGCTCTGTTCACATGCTCTGCTCTCTACCGGTTCATCCACCTGATTTGTGTGTCTTTTCTTAGCTGTCCTGTCAGTTCGCTCTTTAGACTCGTTCACACATTATTTCTGACCTGTCTGCTGAGGTTCTTAGTATTAATAATGCAGTTTATACTTCAGTGTTTCCTTTAAAGGCCTAATGAGTGAAACCCAAACTTGCTTCACCCCAGGCAACACTCTCCATCTCTTTCTGGCCTATCCCTCTGCTCCCAGGTCAGATGGGACTTCCTGTTCCTCTCAGGGTTCTTCTCTCCGGGGGCTGTGCCTAGAAACCATGTTTTACTTCCATTTCAGAGTCGAGGTTTAGTGGCACTAAAGTGATAAAATATGAAAAGGTTAAAGGGGTTGAAGTACAGTTTCAAGACACTGAATAGATCTGTTCATTAATTATTATTTTTTTGCTCTTGTTTATAATTTTCTGTTTTTTTTTTTTTGTTTTTTTTTTAGCCCAGTGAAACGGAAAGGAGAGCTATATCAGCATTTATCACATCAGGGAACGTAAAGCTGCCGCCTGCAGTGGAGAATGTCTGTCACACAAGTACAGATGTGTCTGTGACACGGCAGCCTCCAGAAACGACGTGGAAGGAAGACGGCACAAATCCTGTCCGGGCTCGTTTTTTTTTTCTGATGTTATTTTGGGATCGTTTTAATCATGAGAGCTGAAGTGTTTTTATGTGATAAGGTAGTTGTCTTACACACCAAAATATTGTCTGCTATTTTATCACTGTCTTTCTCTTCATCAGTATATTATTGTAAATCCACATCATTATTGGACCTTTTTCTCTGTTGCTTTATAACAGGATGTATTCTGTGACCTGAAGGGGAAATGTTCAGTTCACTTGACATCAGGTCCTGCCTTTTTACATGTTTTTTTTTTTTTTTGCGTTTCTCTCATAGACATTGACTCATGCATCTGCAAGTTGTTTTTGAATGAATTGAAATCCTGCAAGTGTTCATGCAGTGCATGATAACGTCATCTTTCAAATACATATATGTGCGTCCCAGCTTCAGTTGAATTAACATAGTCATCTCTGAGCTGTAATTACTAAGGCGGCGTTGTTACCTAAGTGTGTCAGAGGGTGCAATCAGTGCTTATTGTTTGCCCTCACTCTAATTGCCTCAGCAGCTGCAGCCGATAAGGCTTTTTTAAAAGCAGAGCTGCATGACAGCTCGCTGCACTTCTGATCCGAAAGCTGCACCTCTGTGATGGGTTTTTGCATTTTTTGTAAAGTGGAATTAAAATAATTCAATGCTTTCAAAAATTTTTTTGCAAATAAATATCTAAAAGGTGTTGTGTGAATTTTTTTAAGCCAGTCACAGAATAAAGATAAGCTGCTGTCTTATATGAGATAGCTACAAGGTAAAACATTAGCTTACCTGTCCACAAAGAAAGTGGGAGACTCCACATGGTTTCTGAGCCTCTATGCTCATTTGAGCCACCACCAACATCCAAACTTAAACATTTCTTTTGCTAAATGTTACTGAAAAGATGCCATTTCTAGTATCTGGGAATGAATTGTCTGTGCCTTCAAGCTACTGTTTCTGTTGGTGCTGAATTCTTGTATGTTAACAAAACATACACAATATAATTTAAATGTGTGTTGTTTATGTATGTGTATATATATATATATATAAATGTATAGAGAGAGAGAGAGAGTTTTTTTCCCCCACTAAAATCCCTTTATTCTGCACCACTTTAGACATTCTGTTGATGTGCTATTACAAAAGTAATGTTTTGAAGAAAAAGTTGTAGTTATTACTAGCATTGCACCGATCCAGCACTAAAATGTTGGTATCGGTATCGTGGAGTACCGACAAATAGGGCACTTTGAGAGCCAAAAGTTTATTTTCCTCTATTCCAGGCAGGTAAAAAGTTTTACTGGATTCATTTTGCATTAGTCTTTTTCCTGCTTCACAAAGGTAGGCAGTAGCTTGACAAAGCCATGATGGCAATTATTTTACATCCAAGTAGTATGCAGTTCTTCATATATACACACATGCATCAATTTCAAACAAATGGTATCGGCACAACACTAGTTATCTCTCCTTTTTAACAATTAAGCATTTGTTCAATATATATATATATTATTCTCAGTATAGATCCAGCCTTTCTATACTAAGGCATTACAGTTTAAATTCATTGTGATGGCAGAGTTATGAGATAATTTTTAGAGGTAGCCAATACACTGGGTAACGCTTGAGGAGCTGCAAAAATCCATAGATGAGATGGAAATGTCTGTGGAGAGCAAGACTATCAGTCATGCAATCCACAAATCTGGATTTGATGTCAGAGTGAAAAAAACTAAAACCTTTTTACTTGTTAAACTACAGCATGCATCACCCTAAACACACCATCCCCACTGTGAAAACGTGGCGGTGGCAGAATTATGCTGTGGGGTTGCTTCTTTTCTACAGAGACTGGGAGTTCATGGGGAAAAAGGATTTGGGTAATACAGGACTTTTGGTGCAAATTTATTGGAGGCTACAAAAAGATTAGCAACATGAGACAGAGGTTAACTTTTGAGCAGGACTGGGGCCTCTATGGGTGGGAAGAGCTAAAATGCAACAGTCTCCAACTCCAGTCCTCAATGACAGGAATCCTACATATTAGGTGTTTTACCGCTTTAGCAAATGGTAACCAAATGACTGAATGACCTAGTCAGCATATAAAGTTTCACAGTAGCCTGTTAAACACTTAAATTGGGTCACATCAGCTAAAACGACCTGGTGAGTCACACCGATAATGTGTAGCACTGAGGTTTAGTTTTACACAATAATATGGGAGTGCTCCAACTGAAGCTAAAACGGACATTTGGCGGAAGCTTTTGAGCAAAATAGGTGAAGTGATGCCTAGCACCCACCTACCACAGTTTAGTTTTATCTAATTACGCTACTAAATGAAATAGAAGACGCTATGAGAAAACACATCTTACACTCTTATACTCTTGCTGTTACTCTTTGCCAGCCTGCCCTGAAAGAAAAATGTTAACATTTAAGGATTATTACAAACACAGCATGTTAAAAAAAGACATTATACTCATGTTAATTTAGTTTGAACAGCTCAGACTACACTACGGATAGAAATGTTTGAAAATGAACAATGGACTTATGTTTGGAGAGGCAATGGACACTTTCTTTTCTTGAGTCACTACAATACAGAGGAGACAGAGACTAATTTTACACCTGAACCTAGAAGGAGGGATGATGTGCAGCTGCTGAGTTGCAGACATTAAGGAGGTGACTGGATGCCCACTGCTACAGATGAGCACAGGCCACTGGCAGTGATGGGGTGATGGAAGGTCATGGGATCATCGGACAAGCCCCAGATGAAAATGATAAGTGAACTGACACACCAGATTTCTTATTCACAATAAAAAATTATGAGCAAATTATTAAAAACAGGTTGATTAATACAGATCCATGAATAATGCTTATAATTTACAGGGAATCAACACCAAAATGTTGGATCTTGACATAGCAGCTATGTGTGCATCCTCCTGCACTGCCATGTGTAATTCGTTTTGTCTTTGGTGTCCTGCAGCACCACTACGAAGTTAGTGACTGTTACTATATTTATTTAAAACGACTTTTCAGACCCCTCTAATTATTTTTTTCAAAAAAGTGACCAGTGGAAAAATCCAGCAACATTTTTCCATATTGTCTGAGACTTTGGTAACACAGTGAAAGTACCAATGTCTCTGATTTCACTGTCTTCAGAAAGCAGTGGAGGCTGCTGTGAGCCTCTGACTGAGGGATGTGAAAGATTAGTTGCACTTGTACAAGGTTTTCACGGACAACCACTGGATTTAAAACTGATTTAAATATAATATAAAAAAAAAAAAAAAATTCCCTCTCACTTTAATTAATACTCAGCCTCATTCACTGTCACTAAGTTGAATTTAATAATATACTAAATTGATTGATGCAGTTTTGGTCAGGTAAAATATATAAAGGAATACTTAGATTATTTGTAGAGTTTAGTTTTAAGTTTTTTAAATTACTTCCTGTCCTCCTGATTTATATTTTTCAATCTACCAGGGGCTGGATCAAACCAAATATGCAAACTAGGTAATGATTTTAAACAACCAATAGGGACCTTCCTTGCTGAAGAATCAGTGAAAGTAGACAACAGGCTTTGAGAAGTGACTTTAGGCTCACTGGTTTAAAGCATATTTAAGGGTTGAAATATCCCATTGCCTTAATCCAATAGGCACTTTTTCCTAATTAATCCTAAGTTGTTAAAAAGCCAATTAAAACCTCAATAATTCTCAAACTGTCTTGTTTTGAAAGTGTTTCCTTATTAGAAAAGAAAAGAATAGAATAGAAAATTCCTTTATTGTCCCAAGATGGGGAAATCCTAGTGTTTACAGCAGCAAAAAGATTATAGAAAAAAATGGTTACACAAATGTGGACCTTAAAAAATTTATAAGAATAAAATAATAGTGAAGAGTTAAAAGATAAACAATTAGATACTGTACTGTAAAGTGTTTTAACAATATAAAACTGTGCATCATGGAGACTAAATAACCAATATAAAGCTATGGAGATTTTTACAGTAATGGATATTTGAAAATAGCAACAACATTGTACAGTAGATGTGCAAAATGACAGCAGCAGTCTGTCAGTGAAGGAGCTCTCCAGCTCTGCAACACATCATGCATGGGATGGTAGACATTATCCAAAGGAGAGTGAATTTAGTTTGGATCCTTTTGTTTCCCACCTCCCGCCTGATCAGCTGATATTATTTTAATTATTGATATTATTGGAACCTAATCAGGGTTCTATGTGTGTAGTTCAGAACATCTGAGGTCAAACACTCAAAGCAGCTTTAAACCTGGCTGCCAAGAACATCTCCCTTACTCTATGTGTGGGACGTGGATCATAAAAGTGTTGCTTGCTGTGGATCGTTGGTAATTCGGCCTTCCTCAGTGTCACACATGCTTTTGTAGGACAAGCAGGTGCCAACTAGGAGAGGGTTGAATTGAAGCCCAGGGCTCCTTAGGGACAAGTGTTGACTGACACGTCTGAGAATAGAGACAAGCATGACTGGAATAGTTTCCACAGAGCAGAAAAGACCCTCAGAAAAACGTATGGTGCAAAGTTTAAAAAGCTCCATCAAGCTTTATCAAATTTGTTCATCATTTGTTTTGTTATAAAAACAAAAAACAACATTTCAATGTTTTATGAACCCTAAATTATCTTTATTTTTCTAACTTAAAGCCAGATGAAATATATTACTTAAAATTCAGATTTTTAGACGTCAACACTTTTTATAAGTTACCTTTAATGACAAATATGATTTTATTTAGATGGATAAGAATATTCAAACTGTGTTTAAATATGTCTGAAGAATACATCAGGTATTAAATTGAAAACATTGTTCAATAAGCAGAAGAAAAAGGCCTCAGTTATGATGATTAACTATTACATTTTGATTTCTGTTCTATGTAGTCCATTTTATTTATCCAATGGGTTTAAATATGACTGTCCAAAGTGAATCACAGTTAAAGCCTCAACTATATAAAGCAAATAAAATAAAAATGTAATAAGAAACAAATTAATGATGGCTTCTAATGCATGCTGATCAGTTTAACTTGTGTACTTGTCATGTCCTCCAAAACACAAATACCGGTAGATCAAACTTTTAAAGTTAGAATAGCTTAAATATATATATTTACAAATATCAAAAAACATAGAAGGCTTTATAAATTCAGAATTGTGTTTTAAATGAATCACATAATGTAGAATACAGCTATTTTTCTAAATATCTTAAATTTTATTCCTCCAAAAACTGAAATGAAGCGTGTTTAATGGCTGAATAAGAGAATGGCTTCCGATTGTAGAAAATTGCAATGCAGCAACAGTTTCTAGTCCCTTCCAGCAGCAGTGCTCAACTGAATGTTGCCCTTAATGATGAGCTCATATAGAAAAAGCCAATAAACATCGAAACTGGACCACAGCACCTGGTCCCCTACACGGGGACGTCTGGGACCAGATTGCGTTGTGGGAAGAAGGCAGGGAGTGGAATGTTTTTGACTATGTTAGGTGGGTAAATCTTGGACCATTCATATATATGCTGCTTTTGCACGTTGCAACTACATCAGCATAATCACAGATCATGGCTGTGGCATCTTTCAGCAGGATGAGATACGTGGAACCATCTGGTGTCGCAAGGGTTGCTGGTGTCTATCTCCAGCTGTCGTCGGGCAAGAGGCGGGTTACACCCTGGACAGGTCGCTAGTCCATTACACGGCAACACAGAGACAAACAACTATTCACACACACTCACACCTAAGGAGAATTTTAGAGAAGCCAATTAACCTAACAGTCATGTTTTTGGACTGTGGGTTGAAGCCAGAGTACCCGGAGAGAACCCACACATGCACAGGGAGAAGATGCAAACTCCATGCAGAAACCCAGGCAGGGAATCAAAGCCAGAACCTTCTTGCTGCAAGGCAGCAGTGCTACTAACTGCACCACTGAGCAAAACTACACGTGGAACCAGTAAAAAAAAATTAAAACGCTAACTTGGCCTCCAAAATTCCCAGATTTGGGAAATGAAATGCATGATTAAGCCACCTCACAGCCTTCAACAATTAAAGAATGTGGAACCAATTATAAGGTGGTGGTTATAATGATCAGAGCAGATCTATGTAAATATTCCACCAACTAACACCTCCTAGTTGGTCCTGATTGGTCGAAGGATTCTGAAATGGGTGGAGTCTTCTCTGTTGTCCTGTCTGAGCTGGTAAAAATAGGGACTCGTCTCAGTCTGTCCCAGAGATAGTTGACTCATTTTACTGTGAGCTCTGGTTCTGTGGTAAGAATTTTCTTTTGCATGGAGATTTTTACACAAAATATCAAACAAAACATCTTTATTATCAGTGATTTATTTATGATTTTATTCTTTTTAAACACAGGTCAAGGCTCGAGGTCAACATCACCAACCTTCCAGCATGGAGATGTCCAATCCAACGTGAGTTTGTCCCTCTGCTGCTTTGGGCTTAAGATATTCTGTTTTGAAATTAGTGTGAAGATGATCATTGCATTTTCATTGAAAATGTAATTTTGTCATTCATGCATCCTAAGAACAAACCTCACTACTCGTTTAATCGCATCTTGTAGGCCAGCCATCTTAATTAAACTTTCCTGTTTATGTTTTTCTTAGTGTCCTGCCAATGGTTGGCTTGGGCTCTATGGCCCACTCATCTGGACTTGTGGAGATTGCGGTGAGGCTCTGCTTGAACCAGCGGGAGCAGTTGTGTCCTCATGTGTGGGTTCCCATCCTGAAGCCTCAGAAGCCATGCATCCGCCCCCCAGCAACAGATCAGCTTCCCGTAAGCATGACGGGCCATCTGAGCTACCCCTTCCTGCATTTCTTGAGTGACCTGGATGATGATGACAATGACGATGTTTTGATCCCGGTCAAGAACAGGCGTGTAATCTTTGCAGACTCCCTGGGTTTCTCTCTGACGGCCGTGCGTGAGTTTTCCCATGAAGAGGATCACCATGACCTCGGCCCACTGCCCTCTCTGCAGGGTTTAGGGAGCATGACAGGGGACGGATACAGCTGCACGGTCAGCACCTGCTGCCCGGGGACACGGCTCAAGCTGGGCTTCCCACAGCCCTCACTGGATTTCCAGGCCTTCAAAGCCAAATTGGCCCAGAGCATGGTCACCCTGGAGAACTGTACTGTCAGCGAACAGGCTCTGCAAGGCAGTGCACGTGTCCGAAACCTCAGCTTCCAGAAGGATGTGCGAGTACGCATCACATTTGACTCCTGGCAAAGCTACAGGGACGTCCCCTGCACATACCTGCAGGAGCGCTTTGGAGGACCCCAGACAGACATATTTGAATTCGACATAGCCATTCCCAAAGTGCTGGATGCTAAGAGAAAGATAGAGTTTTGCTTAATGTTTTTACCTGCAGGGCACAGTGAGCCATTTTGGGACAATAATAATGGAGAGAATTACAGCATCTTAGTTTGTGTGAACTCACATCTGTGCCACGGAAAGAGCGAAATGACATAAGTAACTCTGATTATATATGGTAACTATTAATCTCCTTTTTAAAACTAACTGTTTGGCTTATTAAGTTGTTCTTTTTTTTTTTTTGGAACAGGGAACGGTTTGTTTGAATAAATCTCCTTTCTTTTTTACTCTCTTGCTGTGTCCTGTCACTCCAAATCCTTGTGTCTTGCCCCACATTTCAGCCTCCAGTCTCATGAATTACTGTTGTGCAACAGCAGAGGGATCCTTTTCACTGGCGTCACTAGTATTCACTTAAAGGTCAAAGATTACTGAGCTGTCACACATAAAAGCTTCAAACTAATCTTAGCTGACCACTCTTTACAGTCTGACAGGAATCCTGTCACAACACAAAAGATTCGAGGGTCCTTCTGTACATCCCTATAAAGTCTAGTACCAAAATACACTACAAAAACTAAGGTCTTCTTCCTGCTGTTTTGATGTTTTACCCACAGCCTGTCATAACATCTGATTTAATGAGGAACATATATCTTTTGTCAGCTGTTTTCCACCAATACCAAGACCCCCCACCCCCCCCAACCACCTTTAACTGTACTATCTTAACATATTTAGTTAGGTTTTCAGTCTATCCTTTTTATGTAATTGTCCTATTATTCCCTTTTATTTTCTAGGCAATTGTGTTACATCTATGCCACTCCAACCTACTTTTGGTTTTCTTTTTTTTCTCATATACAGCACTTTGAATTGTCCTACCACTAGAATGTGCTATATAATTATATTTGCCCTCCCTTTTGGTGGCTGTAGTGCCGCTTAAGGGCCTCTCCAGGCAACAGCCCCCTTTTCAGGCGTATCATTTGGGAGTTTTAATCAAAAGGCTAAGTGTAAAGTTTTTTGAAATGCAGTCAGTTTAAAAGGTGTCAAACTGCTTAGAAATTGTGAAAAAATATTTTCTGCATATGTCCGTTTTAATCCGAAGTGCACAGTTTTTTGAAAGCAGTCACATGAAACAAGTAGGGTTGTGAATGAGAGAAGACATGAACAAAATAACATGAAGTCAGTTAATCTCCGCAAGTGCAGATGTTGGTACCACTATACAAATTGTATGGAAACCTTAAAATAAATCATATAAATGATAAGGCATAATCTCTCAATGAGAAATACAACATTTAATTTCCGTACATATATGAAGTGTCTGGGAAGAAATGTTTTACAATTAAAAACTGTTTGTAACCAAATCAATCATGGACACCTTTCAGATGAATATGAAGCTGGAAAAATGGAAAAATAAATAAACTACAATATTTCAAAGAATAATTTTCATTTTCATCTTATAACCTATCCCAGAAATGACAAACCCTTCTCCACGCCTGATGGTATTAGGGCTGTTGTTGGTGTGCTATTGTGGGCTGATTGCTGCAAGAAGAGAGATGCTGACAGAGACAAACA